ATATGAAAACCATCTATCTTTCTGTATTCAAAAATCCAGAAGTGAAAAAAGAATTAAATAGATTACATGATAAGTACGTATTGGTCCCTGCTGACAAAGCTGGTAACAAGAGCAGGTAAGGCTCATTATACAAATTGTATTTTAGAATAACTTGAATGTATAAATTTCTACAAGTGGTAATCCAACTTACAGTTTTCTTTCTGAAGAAATACTGCTTGACGATCATATGTCAGTTTTGAATATTTATCTCCGGGGAAAATAAATCCGAAACCTAGGAGTTAACTGATTAACAATGATACATGTAAAATATAAATAATTAAATATAACAATGGCAATTAGCAGAATTCTGAGCATGAGTGACAGATGGCCTACATAGAATAACTCATGACATGTTGAGTAGAATGACACATTTTGAGTAACATAGTAATAATCATAATTAAAGTGTTTCATGGTGTTGAAAGTAATTATATTGAATTAAATGTATATTTTAAGGTCAGCTTAAATGTAACTAAAATTGTTTTTATCAAAAATCACACCGTGATATTTTTCTAATATTCCAAACAACCAATATAAATTTGAATTACCATATCTGTATTGGATTCCGAAACTTTATAAAAATCCTTAAAAAGAAAGTTACATAGCGGGTTCCCGAAATGTTCTACAAAGCCTTTGTTATTAAGGTTAGAGACAATTATTTTAATCAAGAAAATAAGAATAAGCCAATTAAAATATACATGTGATAGAGTGCACTGACCTATAATCCAATCGGGATATGAAAGTGTAATACTTTTTCCGTTAGAATAAACAAACTTGGTAATCGGATTAAGGACAGTGTAACCTACCAGGATGTTTATCTATCTTCGGACATCAATACAGGAACAAGTAACGGAACATTGCAAAAACTTACTTTAACATTATATTAACTTTTGCACAATACTAGGACACAACTAAAGCTTATGTTTAAATTAAGATTTATTTTATAAAGTTCTAGGATTTTGTCCAAATTTATTGTATAACTTGTTTACTTCAATCTGACTTTTTTGTTTCATATGTAAATGAGTATTATGCATTGTACATTATAAAAATGACAGTCTAACTTTACCAAGCGCTCTCATCTGGGCCACACTTCTCACAGCGGGGCTCTTCGGAGCAGTTCTAGGAGGGATCGAGAGACACTATACGATCACGAGCCATTTTACGATCGGTGTCCACTGTCTTCGCCCACTAAACGATCACTAATTGTTTTCATTATAACTTCAGTTAAACCAAAATAAACTTTTACAAGAACAAATTTTCCTTGTTATTGGTTCTAACCTGTTTCTTTACTTCACACTAAGATATTAACAATGGTTCTTTCCATTCTTATATCGAAACGATTAACCCGTTGAGCTTGAAATAAAAGATATCACAGAGTCTGACACATCTCTTTCATAATTGGATATTTTACTTGAAAAAGACGTTAATGATAATCAAACAATAAATCCTTGTGATAAACGTGATGACTTTAACTTTTTCAAGCGCCATTTTCCCCTACGTATGCAGCAATTTAAGGATTCACTGTCTAGTTAGTATAGTATGCCAGGGCATCAACAATAGTGGGAAACATGGGATAATTTGCATAACGGGCGAAGCCCGTTATGCATAAATTATCCCATGTTTCCCTTGTCCCTGGCATATTATACTAAAAAGGCCTTATATTTCCATTTCATTGTGAAATAAAATTGTAGATTTAGACTTTAAAAATGCAGACATAGATTTAAATTACACGAGGATTCCCATCCCAATTTCAATAGGCCTCGCCGACTGATGTCAAACACAACGGCAGCCGCACGAAATTTTCATGCATATTTGGCCTCCTTAGCGTCAGACTCAGAGCTAGATGCGCATGAGATTTGTATGCATACTAGGCCTCCTTAGCTCCTGACCTATCGACCTGCCTAATTTACATTCCGGCAGAATTATCAGGAAATCAACTCCGCTTACTTTCAAAGGGTTATCATAGAGAAAAAAATTAGAAATGGAAATATATACCTTTCACCTGCATACGGGGTTTATGTCTCTCAGTTGATTCGATACGCAAGAACATGCTCTACATGTGTACAATTTCTAAAAAGAGCTTAAATTTTGACGTGCGCACACAACTTGCTGAAACAAGAATATCAGCAGTCTCGTTTAAGTCGTTCTATGGTCGATACAATGACCTTGTCAGCAAATACAATTTATCATTAAGTGAAATGCTGACTGACGTTTTTCAGACTACATGTAATTGTTCGGGCAATATTTACACACTGAATTGTAGACGGTTTTCCCGTTATTTCTATATCATGACAAGGTGCACACGGTGGGTGTGACCTGTCGGTAGGGGATGCTCACTCCTCCATGGCACCTGATCCCACCTCTGATGTTTTGGAGGTCTGTGTTTGCTCTGTTTGTATTGTTTGATGTACTTTTGACCTTGAATACCGTTCGTTATCTTCATATCAAACATATGGAGATAAAGGATATAATTAGTAATTAATGGATATATTTCCTAATCAAAATAAGTTCACGGCTAAGTGAAATGAATGTTTTTAAGATAAATATTTTCTAAGATGGAAATTTTTATCGGTTAAAAAATGAAATAAATAATCTAGATTTCAGGTCTAAGGTAGCAATGATTTTCTTCTAAATTTTCTCTTTACTACTATTTATCATCACTATCTTTCGTTGTTTTTTTTTCTTCTTAAATTATCTCTCACATTCACAATTTTGTGTTGTTAAACAATCATAGTTAATGTTTTAGTTTATACTGGTTGAAGGTATTTTTAGTGAAATTTTGACTTAACCTAAGATTAAGAAAAAATTCGAAAATTATGACAAAAAACTATTCAGGCCGTTTAAAGACATGAAAACATCAAAAGATACTGATTTTATTTGATTTCTTTTTTTTTCTTCAGGTGCATGATAGTTTTGCTCAAAATGTAGTCTTCAAAAAAAAAAAAAAAAAAAAAAAATCAACAAAACCAAAAAAGACGTTTATTCCTATAGTTGTTTGCAAGAGTTTTTTTTATATAAATATTTATAATATTGAGAATACATGAACATATAGTAACAATATGATTGTCACTTTATTTTTCTGATACATCTTGTAATATTTATTCCCTGTACCTATATGTTGACAAAGTAAATATAGTTTTAAACAAGATTCAATCATACGTGACTCAAGATACCATTTTAAATATGCAGTAGTTGTATCTCCGCCTATTTTACCATATAAGGAATGTGTTATCTAGTCAGAGGTTTATCGGTGACGTCACTCGGTATATAAAAGCAAACGCTGCTTGTTGTTCTACCTTTTGCATTCTTACTTTGAATGAATGCATACTGCTATTGCAGTGTTAAACATGTTGGTAATCTTTCTGATTTGAATAATGATTACCTTTACTTCTTAATAAAATTTATTTTGCAACTTTTAATATGAAAAATATATTAAAAAGTTTTTGAATACTTGTATACATTATTATGATTACATAATTATCCAAGTACACACACCATTGCAAATATATGTTGTTTAAAGTGTTTTGTTCAAGGTTATTATAATAATAATATAAATTATTTTCAAGATTTACATTACATTGTTCTTATTATTTTATTCATTTTCTTCTCGTATCACAGAGCATCGGAGCAGACGAAGAATAAGTTACAGGAAACAGAAATTGACAATAGTTTTCCTTAAAGATTGACAATTATATATTATTACCTTAATCGTGTATTATACCATGGTATTAACAATTACGTATGTTTACTTTAATTGTGTTTGCAATATTTAAAACATATTTTGAGTTCATTTTAAGTTAGTGTGTTTGTGTGTATGTGTTTGATATAGATTTTAGAGTTCACATTCAGTATCAAACTTTGTTTGGTCACATAAAAATGTACCCTTGGACATTTGTCATTTGTTGAGTGGATCCCAGACGTCTTTATTGACTTTTGAAAGTATGTCATTAAGTTGGTTAACCTATTGTGCAAACTCTGTCCCAGTTTGTAACACGATGCCCTCCATTCGTCTTAAATGTTGTCAACAAGCCTGTCTTTTGCAAAATCAGATTGATAAATGTTGGTGTTTTTACCATATTTGTAAATATTGAATATAAAGGGAGTAGCTGTTGAATGCTTAATTTTTTAAGCAAAGTATTTTGTGCATTCTATTTGTTTGAATGTAAATGCGTAGTTATTATGTAAAGGTTTAAATTTCGGTACATGCTAAAGATAAAGATGAGCCTACGGTCGTAATCAAAAGTTAATGCAGGTTTTATTCTGTTTAGTTATATTTTCCAATATTGTATTCATTGATATTTTTGTTGTCTTTTTAACGTAATGACTTGTGATGAAATGTACGATTTTCTGCGTATTTACTTACGAAATAATAGTTTAGTTTATACAAACGGGGCTTTTTGACTTTGTTGTTCGAAAAAGTATATCACTCATAAAGTATACACAAGACTCGGGTGACTAAAATGACTAAAACTTGGATGAGATAAGATTTTCTTAACTATCAGCATATGGGGAAACATACCGAAAAGGGGGGAAAGTTTGGTAGACTACATACTGTATCAAGCTTTCATTTTTTTCATTTTTTTTTTTTCAAAAAAAAAAATCTTCCTATAATTTTAAAATCTGTCATTATCTTCTTTTATCCATTTGGTATCATTTTACGTGACTCTCTAATACTATAAATAGTAACACGAAATTAAAAATGCTACGAAAATATCCCTGTGAACAGTAGGGAATGAAAGTACAAAAATATATACAATGGGTTATAAACATGGCATTTTTTTCAGATACACTTTGTTCTTGGATAAACCAGTCAACAATGACTATTCCATAATACTTAAAACATTTTCTTTTGTTTATCTGATAAAAAAAATTGACCAAATTTATTTCGCAGTTCTTCAAATTTTTACCAAAAAAGTTTTTTTTATTTTGTTTTTGAAGTCGTGTTCTAGAACATATATATTTAAATAAACTGACATTACATGCAGAAAATTGCGGTAGTTATTTTTGCTCATAGCCTGTACAGATAAAAGGTCGAGTTTTAGAAACGTATAAAAAGAGAGAAATCTGCTTCTATCTCATCACTGCACACCTTGCGCCACCACTGTTTACAAAGGTCTTACGCAAGAAAAGGTACTTATTTTTGCTAATGTCTTGGTGTAGTTTTTCAAGTATTTAAAATCATTATGTCATGTGAGGTTTTTAATGTATACATTTTATTAAACTTTGTTTCATCTCAATTTCTGTGTATTTTCTAAATTTGAATTATTCTTTCGACAATTCGTATTTAGGAAGGGTAGTCTTCAAAAATTGATAATTTTAAATTCGTGTCATTTAATCATTTGAAATGAAAATTTTTAGATTATTGTACTTAACAATACCAGCATGGACACATATGATCATATTTCGGTTTATTCTATAGATTTCTTTATCATAGATGGAGTAAAATTAAGTATTTTAAGGAAATTAAATCCTGTCTTCTTTTTCTGAGTATAACTTTTACAACATATAAGGTTAATTTTCAAAACTTTCAATGTCATCTATAACCAAAAGACATATAGTAAATATATGCTTTTTTAAATTCATTTTTGTACTGGCCCTACTTAGAACAGATCTTTTTTTTTTATTCTCCGAAATTTTCTGCTATTGCGAGATACAATAAATACACTTAATTTAAGTGAACTGCCAACAGTTTCTTAAAAATTAAGACAATTCCTCTTTTAGAATAAATATTCCTCATTGGGTAAAAACATAGATTTTTCGTAATAAATTCATGTGCTCTGAACATTTGGTTAATTTTTTTAATATTCTGAAATTCTGTTTATTGTAATATTCTATTAATTTTTTAATGTTTTGATTGAATAACACATTTATTTTTATTAATATGATTTTTAATTTGTTATATTTTAGAAGTATTTATACATGAAAAAGACACATTTGAATTTTAAACCAAAAATAATATCGCCATTAATATTAAAAAAACAAATATTTTCATTCTGTGATATTTTTTTTTTTTGTAATGTTTAAGGTGCATCACTACTTATATAAGACAGATAACTCTTACAAGTATAAATTCATATTATTCTGTATCAAAAAAACTGTAAAGTTAATAGGCCATTTATGACAAATATGTTAACGTCGTGTAAAGTAGATTTCCTTTAGAAAATAAAAGGTGTTATGGAAAGATTGTATTGAGCAGAGAGATGAAAAACCTTCAACTTATATCTAACAATTCAAATCTTTTGCATGTTGATAAAAAATAATTCAATGCAAATAAAACATTGTTAAGCCAATTGTGTAATGACAATGTTTGCTAATAGTAAATAGCAAATGAAATTAAAAAAAAAAATAATAATCATAACATTATTTTGGTAGGCTGTTCATATTGAATTTTCTTGCTAACTGATTCTAATTTTTTAAATAAATTCTTAGGTAGCTTAAATAAATATTTTCATGATTAATTAATATGATCTACACGAAATTCATCCTCTTGTGATTCTTTTCGACTTCAGTATATCAAATTCTCATGTAAAATAAAGAATTTATAAACAGATGTACTTCAACCTAGTTGAGCTGCAAAAAATAACAATTGTTGTTAATAGTTGAAAAAATATATGTTGAAAGCATAGAATGTGAAACCACTACATATGTAACAACTAATTAATAATTTATGAAGAATTGAATTCAGCTTACAAAAGGAATTTCAAAGTAAAAGATCATATATATTGAAATACAGAAATCACAGAAATGAATTCCGAGGACCATGAAGCTTTTCAGACCAATGCCCAAGTTTTCTCTGGTGGCCTGAATAAAATACAAGTCATCGATTACTACAACACATGGGATGGCTATGAGCTGGTAGGTACAAAATACTTTGCAAAAAAAAAAATCAAGATTTCATCCCCAAAAAAATGAACTCGTAATCTTTTAATAGATATGTCTGCCTGAAATCAATAAGAATTAATTCAAATAATATATCCAACCAATAAACATGATGTATTCATATTCTCCTTCAATCCTCATGAAATTTAATAGGTCTTATATTTATCTAGAAGTTTAAATTTCTAAATAAACTAGGTTGAACCTGGTTTTACAGGCATCTGTTTGCTTAATTTAAAAAGTCATGAAAAACTTACCTTCAACATGGTTGTTAAAATTATTGAAATATCAACTTATTTGTCGCTTGTTGTGGCCTTCACAAAAGCATTTAAACATATAATATATTGTAATTTTCATAACATGTATATTGCGACTCGTTGTATTAAAGTGAAATTGAAGTAAAAGATACTAAAGAGACATCAATTTCATCAAATTTAAGCAATTTACTAGAAAAAGACGAAAATCGAAGCTGCAAGACAAAACTTGTTTTGATTATTTTTTAAATTCTTTATCTTCCCCTGCTTATGTAGTGATACAAAACTATCACCTACATATTGCTTCGAGTTTTTTCTAAAATAATGCAAGCTATTGACAAACTAGTTGATATAAAAAGATATCAACAGAATCGTTAAAAGTCATCATTTTGCAAGTTCTTTGGTCGTTACAATGACCTTATCAGCAAGTGCAATCTATTATTATGCCAAATGCTTAATGGAGTTTTTCATACTAATGTAAATCACCTAATTTTCGCAACACCTTATTTTCCCGAGATAGTCAATGTCCCTTTATTAGCGAGACAAAATTTTCTCGAATTGTTATTGTTCAACAAAATCTAATGGAGTGATTTTCTCGAGCACACTGTCTTGCGTAATTACGCAAAAATTAAGTTCTCGCGAACAAAAAGTGATTTTAAAGTAATACGTTAGTTAATAATGGATGTGATACTACAATGTAGATATCAATGCATAAAAATATTAATAATCTTGTATTTAATTCTCCAGGACCTACAGCCTGGTCGTTACAATGGCCCATCCTATGCTGCAGAAGCCATTCAGAGAAGTTTCCCAAACTACAGAGATAAGATTCGTATCTTAGACGTGGCAGCTGGCACTGGCATGGTTGGAGAAGAGGTAATAATCATAAAATAACCTATAATAAAATCTCAGGATCTATATACTTATACTCGTATAAGTATGAACCACATATACATAAAACAGTAATATTGCAATTACAGCAATACAATGTTATTGCATTGCACACACCCTATAAACAATGCTTCATAATAGGAACGCATTCATTTGACGATCCCAAATACACAAACGAATAATTCACTCCCTATTTCGTAAATTAGGATAAATTAAACACATGTATATTTTTTTTATCAATGAATCAGCATTATTTCCATTGCTTCTAAACATATCACTAAAATACATTGCAGTTGGCTAAGCGAGATTTCAAAGAAATCCACGCACTGGACCCAAGTGAAAGCATGCTCATGAAAGCCAAAAAGAAGAATGTCTACAAGAAGTTCTTATGTGAATTTGTAAATCCGGAACCATCTCCTAACATCGAAAACGGTAACTGGACTTTATAGGAATTTTTTTAAAGTTTGGATCTTTCTTAATCAGGATTTCAATTTCTTTTCATCATAATTTTATTTGATATATTTAGATGCATACCACTGCGTTGTTTGTTCGGGCGGATTTGGAAGCGGACATATCCCTTCTGGTGCTCTGAAGGAATTGATAAGAATCACAAAACCAGGTATAATACTTCGCATTATATTTATTATTAGTAATATTACTACTGAGTAGTATTTTTTCATCATTTCCAAACATTGTTCAATGAATATTTGTAAGGATGTCTTTGAAGGTCGTTAACTTTTCGGATTCTTCTAGGGATATAGTAACGCGCTTGTCTTTGTGAGTGGGGTATAGTTTTTCCTTGTCTAACGGAAGTGACATTTTTTCTCATATATCAGGATCGATATGCTTTTTCGCGAGGGTATGCTCTGCTTTGAGGTGCCCTTGTCATATACTTGGTTTCAAGACATTTTTTTAATTTGTGTATATTGCAGAATTCAAAGTTTCAAATATTTTAGGATTTTATCTTTCTGTTTTAGGCGGAATGGTAATAATTGTAATGAGGGAGGAATACTTGAATATTCCGGAATATGCCGACAGCCTGGAACCTCTTATGAAGCAGTATCAAAATGAGGGACTTTGGATGTGTATAGAAAGATCTGTCGTCCACAAGTATTTCTGTGAAAAATATGGCGTAATATTCCGATATCGAGTTCTACATCGCCATTTATAGTCAAAAACAGACATTTTGCATTATTATTTAAGAGCTTTATCAGTTCGTCATTTATGGTCAAAAACAAACATTTTGCATTGTTATTTAAGAGCTTTATAAGTTTTATATCATGAACATTTGACATTTTATGTAAACAGGGTACATTCCATCTGTTTTGTAATATTTGTTCACATATGCTTCCCATTGTATTCATTCTACCTCTTTTCAGCACAATGTATTTATTGGAATAATTATGTATTTACACATTTTGTTGTGAATTGTGCATAGGGCCATTCCATGTCATCAATGTTTATTATTTATGTTGTTCTGTGATTTCGACAATTATTTATGCATTATTTCCTTTTAAGAAAAACTGATATTTTTATATTTTTCAACCTATTTATTTTTGTTTATTGAATAAGAGGATGATGTTTCGTCATGTTGCAAAGAATGGAGGTTACAAGGCGAGAACAATATCTCGCTCTTCCCAGGAGTCAGGATTTGAACTTTGAATCTACCTTTCATATTTCACCTACCGAACTTATTACAGACTAGGAAAAAAAAAAAAGAATCGAAATCATGCTATTATCACAGGCACCTGACGTTACTAATTTTTCTTTTAATAAAAAAAAAATATACCCTTACCTTATTATAAGGTAAGGGTATATTTTTTTTTATTAAAAGAAAAATAAGTAACATCAGGTGCCTGTGGCTATTATATACAGTCATTTCTCCATTATTTCTGAAAGGCATACATGTATTTCCCTTTTATAACATTTTGAGAACCTTGAAACGTCCATATCTCAGATCCTGAAGAGATCTCATCACCGAAAAGGTATGCAACCAGGTTCAAAAAGGCTGAACTTTCATTTATCCTGGGGAATGGTTGTCAGGCCTTCGTTTTTATACTGAATTTGACTACAGGATGTCCCGTCTATTGATCAAGATACAGGGCTCATGACACGAGTGATTGATCGACAGGGGATGTTTACTCATCGCAGGCACCTAATCCCACCTCTGAAATTTCCAGGTGTCTGTGTTTATGCCCTATTACAACGCACTTTGATTTTTTTTTTAAGTGCGTTAAAATTTGGGACGTATCAATTGTGTCCCGTTTTTAGCTCTACCTAGTTTTGTATTCATATGAAGCATATTTTTTCCTAAATCTTATACGTGAAAAGAAGAAAACACTTGCTGTAGCATTCAATTCGACATTTAGATATTTAGATATATCGACGACATACATTTGCATATTCAATTAACAATGGTAATTTCCATTCTTATGTCCATACGATATTCCAGTAAGCTTAAAATAGACGATACCACTGAGTCTGACACACCAGTTTCTTATTTGGATAGTTCGTATTTTTACAAGAAAAAAACGTTATTGGTAATCTAACAACCAAGCTTTATGACTAACTTTTCAATATTGTCAACTTCCCTTACTTATGCAACAATATACCTTCATCACCTGCATACGGGTTTTATATCTCTCAGTTGATTTGATAATATTATTAATATTTAGAGGTCTTTTGTCCTAGCTAAAACTTCAAATATCAATAATACTTCAAATGTAGCCACTGGTTCATCGAAAGGTGTGGTTTAAAAAACAACATGTGCGGCGGGACAGAGAGGGATAGCGGGGCTTGTAGCACGTGAATTTGAGGATTCAAGAGTAATAACTGTCAGATTTTTTGTTTCATGACGAAAAGCAATCGTGATAATTTTATGCATAAACGCCTTCGGTGTTTTTGCATATTATCACAAGCCAGTCGATTGATCACACCATGAAACCAAAACATTAGACACTTATTCTTAAGGCAAGAGCATTGTCTATGTATGAACAATTTCTAACACGAAGTTAGTTATTGACATTGATGAAAAAGTCATCATTTCGAAAGTTCTGTGGTCGATACAATGACCTTGTCCACAAATACAATTTATCATTATGTCAAATGCTGGCCGCCTTTTATGCTAATTGTTAGGCCATTATCTACTGAATTGTACACGGATTTTCCCGTTAATTCCCGGTCATCACAAGGAGCACACTACGAGTGTGACCGGTCGGAAGGGGATGTTCACTCCTCTGTGGCACCTGATCCCACCTCTGATATTTTGGAGGTCAGTCTTTGCTCTGCTCTATATTTGTATTATTTAAGGTATTTTATCAATACAATTTTTTTGGTTCTAAGTAGAAAATCTGCGTTTATTTTCAGGAAATATAGTAAAATCAACTAATTATCGCTAAAAATGTATCGGTTGTCATATTTCTTAAGATGTGAGACATAAATAAACAGAAGTTTATGTCAATTAATGTATTATTTTGCTGATCAATATTAAATTTTACCTATTGAAAGGCATTTGTGTAAAAGATTTATTTCTATTGGGTATGAATTTACATAAATGACAGATTTTGCGAAAACCTATGACATCACAGGAGGGTGGAAATACCTTAAAGTATACATTTGAACTTGAATACTGTTCATTACTTCCATTATTTCATTGGTATGAAACAAATCAGCCAAATCCTAGGATATGTTTGCTATTAACACCAAAATAACAACAAAAATAAGAAATGCTGCAAATGTTTTTGAAATGTGTGTTACATAAACTTATCTGTCAGTAGCCTTCCTCGGTTTAAAAACTGTAGTACTCAGGTCCAGCACTTAAAAACAAGAACAACAACCCCTGCCCCTGCACGCCTGATTTGCAACTCCTATGATTTAAATATAACAGATTTTAATTACATGTAGCCAATGAATTCAATATATTATGAAATCCAATCTGTTGTAAGAATGACATATGTTGTATTTTTTCCTTTTGTTTTATTTTCTTTTCGTTTCTTTTCTTCGCCCACAACTCAATTGACAATTAAACTCAATATGGCTGACCAAAAAGTGTTATTACATTTTGCGTTGTTGATTGCTTTTTGCTTGATCTCGACGCATTTAATGTAATAAACCTAAAAAGTGTGCTGTAACATTTTGCGTAATTACATTTTGCGGCGAGATCAACGCAAAATGTAATGACGCAAAATACAAAAATCCCAGTTTATTACATTTTGCATTGTTATTACCTTTCGCGTTGTAACAGAGCATGATAAGTATCCACTGGAATCCCAACAGTTTATTGGAAGACCTGGCCTGGTCTCTGATGACTACATATGGTTGTCAATGAGGAACTTTAGCATCCTTTTAATATAACTTCAGATTACTTGTGAGGAGAATCAGTGTGTTTTAAGTAATTTTGTTTATGACCAATCAGAAGACAGGAGCATTTCCGACTTCCATTTTATTGAATAAGCATGCAGTTGTCTATGACATCAAAATGTCCCGTTTTTATTGTGAGAAATGGTTGTTTAAAGTGTAGAAGAGTTATACATTTTGATGTTACTGACTATGACTTAGGTGACCTTCAAAGTCATAACAAAAACAAGAGGCCCACGGGCCTTATAGGTCACCTGAGATTCATGTAACAACTTTCCAACAATTGAATTGCTTCTTGTGTTAAACGAAAGGTCATAAAATTTACAATTTTGAAAGGGGCACCTAAGTCATAGTCAGTAACATCAAAATTCACAATTTTGGAAGAGGCAGCCTTATTCAACAAAACTATGTACAATGTACTTGGTTAGTTTATCTAGGAGCAGAGAAGAAGATTTTTAAAGATTTAATGTATTTTCACTATATAATCAATAGAGCCCCGCCTTAAGACCAGAACCCCCAAGCCAGAGGCCAAAATTCACAATTTGGGAAGAGGATCCTTCCTCATCCTAACTATGTACATAATTCACTGGTTTAATGCCCAAGAGCAGAAAAGAAGATTTTCAAAGAATTTATGCATTTTCACTAAATAATTAATAGAGCCCCACCTTTACACCAGAACCCTGACCCAGGGGCAATGAAATTCACAATTCTGAAAGAGGCAGTATTATTCAACTTAACTATATATTTGGTTTGTTTATTGAATACTAAGGAGCAGAAAGAAGATTTTCAAAGAAATAATGTATTTCCACTATATAATCTTTATAGCCCCACCCTAGCACCTGAGAACCCCTAAGGGGCCATGAAATTCACAATTTTGGAAGAAGCAGCCTTATTCAACATAACAGTTACTATGTACTTGGTTAGTTTATTTAATGCCCAGGAGCAGAGAAGATTTTCAAAGAAATAATGCATTTTCACTATATAATCTTATGAGCCCCGTGCTAGCACTAGAACCCCTGACCCGGGGCCATGAATTTCATAATTTTGGTAGAGGGCTCAGTGCTTATTACAATCATGCCAGCTTGACTGCTTGATGCCCAGAAGTAAAGAAGATTTTTAAAGATTGCATTAATTTTAGTGGTTTTGGCCCCACCCTTCAGGCCCCATGGGGGGCAGGGACCCTGAATTCACAGTTTTTGTTCCCCTTCACCAATAGATGCTTTATGCTAAATTTGGTTGAAATTAGTTGAGTGGTTTCAGAGAAGAAGCTGAAAATGTTCAAATGTTAATGCACAACAACGGACGAAAATGGATAGCAATGGGTCATCTGACCTCAAAACTACCAGTATCTCATTCTTTCTTTTTCAAATGCTCCATTATTGGAAGATCATGGGTTTAAACCCCAGTCATATGACCCAAGTTGATTAAATAATAAGTACCAACTGCTCCTTTGCCAAGTGCTTTACACTTTGAAGTAAAAGTCTCGGGTCCTTCGTACGAGACCTTAAAAACCAGGGTCCCGTGTCACAGCAGGCATTGGCAAGATAAAGATCTCTCACCGCTCAATGGCCCCCGAGTGCCAAGTGAAGGCCTTAAGTTGAAGCCCAGTATTTCGTGATATCTCTATATGAGTAAAAAATTCTCAGATGAGATGAAAACAACATATAAACAATCAATCTTTTTTAAAGATATTTATTCAATAAATTTCCTTCAGTCTCATATGCATATGAAATAATTTACTAAGTCTTGTAAAATAAAAAAAAATGAATCACAAAACACTAACAATGAAAACATCCTATGATATGATTGTCAACCACACACCGTATACATTCCTGCTATGAGAGAAGAATTAAGATTTTCAAACACAGAATCTAAATTGCTAAAAATGTCAATCTTAGGATTAGAAAAATCTCCCATCCTTCTCTTCACTGAAAATGTAGCAAGAAACCACTGTAAGTAACTTTTTTTAAAACAAAACAGATCTGTATATCTACATGTACACTAATTAGGGACCTAATTGAAAGGTTTATAATAAGTTGTTTGATGTTTTGACAGTGAGTATTCTTAGATTTAAATATGCATAATGATATACATGTACATACCACATAAGCAGAATTTTTAGTGATGATTTAATGCCTGTGTGATTCTTTCTCTAGATTTGGTGCTGCTGACAAACTTTTAAATCACTTGGAAAATTACATACATAATGGTAATCTCTTATATTCACAGAAGGTGCATATGAGACTGCGTAGAGACTCAGAACAGCAACCAGATTCATTTTATCGCCATTTCAAACCTCTGACCAAAATATTCATACACATCTATAATATACTCTCTGTATAAAGAAACATTGCTTCAGAGTACAAAATAATCTGATAGAAATAAATGACATTCAAAATAATTCAAACACTAACAAAAAGATGTACTTCGTTTCAAAATAAATGCATGGATAAAAAAAAATTGAATACAAAAAAAAAATTTCAGAAATATATTCCATAACACTCCTTCTCTGACAAAGAATTCTTTCTGCAGCTTTGAAAAATGATAAACAGCAATTTCATATTTAAATAAATAAGAACTTTTTTCTCATGCAGAATAAAATAAGATGATACAAAATGCTACAGAATCGGTAATATTTACATCGTGAATTATGTCAATTTTTTATATTGCTGTTCTTATTGCAACAGATGAGATGTATAAGGAAAAAAACATGATCAGGTATAAAAATATACATTACTGATGCCATCCATTTTGCAATTTAGAGTGTTTACATTAAAAGTATATAAATGTGGTGAATTTAAACCCAATAAATAGCAAATATTCACAAACATTGTTTTACTACTTACAGAGGAATGTCAACTTTTCAAAGATAATATAATTTACATAAACAATGTTTGTTGTTTGTTATTTGTAGCTGAGCAATTGCATCTAATTCAAGTGAAGGAAGTTATAAAGAAGTTACTTCCCTTTCTTTGAACATTATATTTCAGATACACATACCAATTTCATTTCAGTTTGATAATGATTATATCTCGAAATATAAACCCTTGTCAAGCACATTTACTGGTTATGATGTATTCACTCATATAAAAGCAAAATATTGTAAAAGCATTTTCTGATATCATATATGGTTTGAATCTTTTGTGAGGGAAAAAAATCAAGCCTTTCAAGATTGAGACCAAAAGGTCATGGATATATTATGACTAAATTCAAGATATAATTGTACAACACTGTACAGTAAAGATTGTACAATACTGTTGAGTAAAGATGCCTGTTGTCAACCATGTAGACTGAAATGAGATACAGTAACTAACAATCATTTAAAGTTAATATTTTATATCAAAACTTTGCCTAATTTAATTATTTTAAAAGTATCAAATTCAAAAAAATAACAAGCAATTTTAAATGTTTCATATTTGTAATGTAAACAAGAATTGAAAATAAAATTGTGTCTATGTATGCATGTATACAATAAATTAAAAAAAAAAACTATTAAAAAAAGATATGTAGTGCATGGAGGATTTCTTCATTTTAATTGAAAAATATATTAAATTCAAATGCTAAATGCAATGAAAACCAGAGGTTTAAAAAATAAATTATGTAAATTTCACAAGAATTCTACACAAAATTGAGTCTATATATGAATTAAAATAAATTAGAAACATCAATTCAAAAAAAAAAAAAAGACATGTAATTCATGGTGGATTTCTTACTTTGGTTGGAAAATATTTAATATGCTATGAAAACCAGTACAGTTTCTGAAAAAAAAAAATGATGTAAACTGCACACATACACACACAAAATATATAAAACTAAAGGTTACGTGTACACCATAAAAATAAATATAAGTTTTTGATTGATATCAAAATAAGAAAATATAATTCTGTCACATAAAGATAAGTTTTCAAAAAAATATGGCTAAAAATATTATGCTTACATACATTCAGTATTAAAAAATTAAATTATACTTATAAGTATTAATTGCATTAGAAATTATAAAAATAGCTCTAACTGTGTAAAATTATAAAGTCTGAAACTTTTTTAAAAATTCTTATATAATTAATTTGCAACTGCATGAATTAATGTGTTAAAAAGCAATATATGTCATTTTTGAATTTCTTCAATTCAATGTGTCAGATCTAAGAAAAAATAATAATAACTTTGCTTCATCTTCTTAGCGAAATAATTTTGATAAATAAATAATAATTTTAAAAAACTTTCAAATCATGACAAGAAAACACAATTTGTTCTGTTTTTAAAGATGTAAATGAAAAATTATGAAGCATTGCAGAGAATAATTTATGGATTTTACTACATAAACAGCTCAGAATAAATAGAAACAAAATGCACATAACTTTATAATTTTAAATATATATATTTAAATGTATCCTATTTATACTTCTCTGACAATAAAATATCTTATTTTTCAAAAGTTCAAATCATGAAAATTCTTATGAAAAGACCTGGCTAGGATTTTCTTTTTTCAAAAGATAAAATAAAAGTCAGAAACTATTCCACTGATAAGCCTATGTTTCAGGGTTTAAAAGAGTTAAGGGTAATCCACAAACACTGTATTTCAACATGTAAACATGTTGTGAGAAAATCTTCACACAGATGAATTTCATTTTCCTGGGGGGTTGTAAAATATTCCTCGAATTTGGCACATTCTTTTAAGACCTACTAGGTAAAAATTCTAAGTAAATCTATACTTACAACTATATGTACCAGTAAATGTATAAGAATTAGAAATGCACATGTAAGGCCAAATTCTTGCCCCAGTCTTTGTTTAAAAATTTCATAAAAACAAATGAAAATGTATATTAGGGTACACTCATTTTGTTTTAAAAGAGCATATTTAAGAATCAGTAAGTGTCTTTATCAAAATACTTCATTCTTTTTTGCTTTATTAAATTAACTCATTAGAAGTAGAATTTAATTTTCTTAGTTTAAATTGAAAACACACTGATGAGAAGCCTGTGGTATTTATCTCTATTTAAATGTGTATTTATAACTCTTAAAATTAATCTTTGGGGCAAAAATATATTTTCAGAAATTGCAGAAGTATACAACAAAAAAATTCTTATATTAAAGCTATAAATGTACATTATCTCAAACTCTTGAGCTACTTTTCATCAACCAGTAACATTTATAATACATCTATTAACACACAATTATAAAACCTTAACACACACATAATATATTATGTCCAGCAATATCCTTTTTCAGTTTTAACTTTCCCTGTGCATAATCTCATTATACTACTTCTACAAGTATACTTTTACTTTCCTCTTCTACATGTGGAGGCTCACAACTTCAATACATCAATTTTTTCCCTCCTTTCTAAAAGAATATTTCACTTTGGAGGCACCACTCAACATATGCGCTGCTGACATGGACTTTAAACAAAGTTACATGACTTTTTATCCCTGGCATTTTAACTTGAAAGGAATCCTTTGAGTCAGAAATAAGCGACGGTATAATTAGAAGTCGGCAAAGTTCTCTAGATCAGCTGATGAAACAGGGGGTGCATCCTTCCATCCGTCCTCTGGGTACTCCTCAAAATTGTGGGTGTCCCCCGCATGGCTGACTTTAGGAACGATAGGGGGCTGTAAAAAGGATTGGAATATTGTTTCAAATTTTTTGTATGTTTAATATGTTAAAATGGAGAATAGAGATTTTGACCTCTAATAATTCAATTACAGTATAACACACTTTGTAATAAATTGATGCTTGTAGCAAAGTGATTTTTCATTCCCCTTGTCTTTAACTCAAATATAACAAATTAATCTTATAACAAAGCAACATTGTCCATCTCAGGCACATTTGTTTTAAGCGAGTGTTTTATTGTACTGTATTGTCTTTAATAAGGATCAAAATTTTCTAGAAATAACTTTTTTTTACCATTGCCCCAAAACAAAAACAGCACATTATATTTATCCCTATTTTTGAACCCAAATACCTGGTGTTTCAATAAATTATAGATGACACATTTAAAAATATCTGAGAATTCTTTTAAAAAATAATCAATAAAATAAAATGAGAAGAAAAAGAGAGAATCGATTTTTTTTTCCACACATAGACAAAGCTGTTTATATAGATGGATTTTTTGAAAGCCTTTCTCCAATGTATTTTGTAAAACCAAAGTATTCAGTATTGATTGAAACTTGTATATATCAACACATGATTAAGCACTTTATCCACAAAAGTGAGCTAACAAGAGAACCATCATTAACTGTCTATTGAATCTCACCCTATACCTAAAAAAATGAGGGGGTTCCAGAAACAAAATCAATTTCATCACATCTAATTTCTCTTTGATCTATATTATACAGATTTATTGCATGGAATACTACACACTCTTAATGAAAAAAGTAACACTGCACAATTTTGATTAAATTTCATCATGCAAAGACTACCAAAAATATTTTTATTGTGGACTGTGGATTTATAGTACAGTTGAAATACAGTTTCTCAAAACACAGATATCTTGAATATCATGGATATGTCGAATCCATTTTGAAGTCCCAACTACTTATTCCTTAAGTATTTTACCCTGGATATCTCAAAATCTCAGTTATCTTGAAGTTTTTTCTTGGCCCCTTCAAATTCAAGATAATGAGGTTTGACTCTTCTTGTATTTCATCATCGGAATCTTTTATTTGATACAAATAAATCATCCTTTAAATTTTTATCCTTCTTTAGTTTTCAGTGATGCAAAAACAATTCATAAGCACTACTACCAAAACTGTCCTAAATTGTCTCATCCTAGCTAATGCTAATTTTAACCTAAATCTGAAGCAGCTTTAACCTAAATCTGAAGCAGCTAGGTGCTACTACAGTTTGACTTCCTCATTTCAAACTTTCATATATTTCAAATACCGTAGGTATGTCAAATTCAGATGGAAGACAATTTAATTTTTTCTTTTACTTTTTTTATAACCAGTATTTAAGACTTTGAGATATCTTGAATTTTGAGAGTCTTCATGACTGTTCTTGTTTTGTTCTCTGTCACGGTTTGATTTATTTTCAAAAACATTTTGTGTCAATGAAATCTTACATTTAATTTCAGTAGAGCTACATCCTCCCAGATGACACCCTTAAACCATTTGTGCTTCTTCACATCCTCTGTACCATTCTGTAAAATAAAAGGAACAAATAACAAAAACTTACCATAAATCTATTGCACTGAATTGAAAAAAAATTAAAAATTCATGAAAAAAGTGCAATGCCATTCTTTTCATTATTCTCATTAAAATTACTAAAGTTATATAAATATTGAAAATAAATCTTCTTCTATGCACAAGACGAATTTGGAGCCAAATGATGTACTTCTCAAATTATTTTGTGTAATGTACTTTTTAGAAAAGTGCAACAATCCTTGATATTATAAATAATAAAACATCTGATAAAACCCATCTATATCAAAAAAAGAATTTCTTCGGAAATTGTTATAATCAGTCGGTTTTTTCCGTGTTTCATCATTGCTTTTCATTCAATTTACCTATTTCTCAAATACACACTTCAAACATCTGTCTTTCATCACTTTGCTAATTACTGCAACTGCAGAAAGTGGTTTCCAATTGCTTTCCACTTTAAGAAATTATCAAGATATAAATATTTAATTTGAAATGCAGTCTGCATGTGCATAATTATCTTTTTTCACTGAAATTATGAAATTCTGTGTCCTTGTAGCATTCAAAGTGATGATTCTTTTTTTAGAATTTAAGAGGACTCTTGTCTCCATATATACCTTACTTGAAAGACAGTTCATCATGAATATGCCCTTTAATGACCCCCGAAGCATTGACTGATTTTCAAAACAAGGTGTGCATACCTTCATATTCCCCAGTCTCCTAGTTCTGTCCTGCACCAATAATTTCTTTATCAGATCCCTGCAGAAAAAAAGATCAAAACCTCATCATATACAACTAGTGTATCAGACCATAGAGATCTTGTATTTATAGATGTTCTGTGTTGAATTGTTACGAAGCTGCCATATTATAGAGAGGCAGGGCATTTATTTAACAATAAAAAGATCTAAAGGCTGTCAAGATCATGATTGGCATTTATATATTCATTTTGATCAGTAAAAATAAAAATGTCATAAATGAACAGACATACATTACATCGAATTAACAGAAATTCTACTTAATTTACATATTTTGGGCCTTTATACAAATTAATAATTAAACTAATGTGCCAATAATTGAGTCTTATGTAACTTCATATTATTTAAATTTAGTTTGCCCCAAACTATAGGTTAAGACTTTAATTTGTTTGTGCGAGAAATATTATGACGCGAAAAATTAGGCATTAGAGGATTATCCAAGTATAAGACCGAGTTTGTAATCACAGTGTAAAGCACATTCAGTACAAACTTTATATTTTACAAGTTTCCCTAAGAACGCAGATTACCGGCACACAAATGTTATTTACGGGATTGGGTGCCTGCCAATTTGTTTGCACCTCTTTCAGGTGGGGATTATCGTCTGAGACAACTCGTAGACAGAGAGGAGCAACGATTAAGTCCATTAACGATGCTCATAATTAGTGATAAATCATTTAACTGTATTCCCCCCTGTCTCCCCATACACCTCAACTTGTGCAGGGAATTAGCAAGATTAGGAACAGACTTTAGATAGAGCAAAGGCTTTAATCCCACAGTGGCTTAAATTTTCTTGTTTATTTTAATACTTTTAATGTTGAATTTTCTGTGTTATTGTTGAAATACATCAAGGGTGTATAATTTAATTTTACTATTTTTGTGTGGAATCAGGTCACCTAAAAGCTGTTTTGAATTAACCTTCTTATTAATGTTGATACCTTTGGCTTCAATTCTAGATCTTCTTGACTATAAATTGTGTTTAGTTTATATTTTATTGCAATAATTTACTCTTAGCAATGAAAAACTCCAAGTAGATTTTACACTTTAGACCATGAGTATTATTAAAGCTATAGAGCTTGATTTATAATAATTAATATATAGCCCTACCTTCTATTTTAAAGTTAACAAGTAACTTTTTACATATGAAGATTTTAATGCATTAGAACAACTTTTTTTTTTATATATAATTATACTTAAATCTAGAGCAGTTAAAAAATATGTACCTTTAAAAAAATTATAAATACTTCTGCAATCATCATGGAAATTTTTTAAAAAAATTATCCTATTTAAAATTTTACACAAACTTCTAAAACAAAATCAAAACCATTTTTTTAAAATATGAAACAGTAAAAAAAAAGGCACTCATGCTTCCAAAAAAAAAATCCAATGAAAATAAATTTCAGCAGGTGCATATTCACACATATCAGTTGAAGGAAGAATTAATGATTTTATAATCTTTACAGAACCTTCAGATTTCAAGGCAAACCTGCATGGAGAAAGTCAAGCATGCTTTGATGAATTGTAACACAGTGCTGTCTTATTATACAAAACCTTTTGACATATTGACCAGATATTGGTTGTTCAACAGATCATCGTAGCTGCAACATTTATTTAGTTTTCTGTTTTTGTGTTGCTTTATTCCTTCATTGAACTAAAAGTATCACTGACTTACTTAGCCACTGGGTCTAAATGCTTTGGCCACTCCAAGCGTCCTTCAATGATTTTTTCATATATTCTAAAGGCATTGTCGTCAAACCAAGGAGGGTAGCTGAAACAAGAAAAAAAAATATTTCATCAGATTCATTAGCATCTTTATTTCAGATATATCTCAGGAGTTTAGCTTAATTATATGATTTCTGCAGATTGATTTAATTTGGAAGCCTTGGCCATGGATGGATTCTTTGAATGTATACACACTGTAAATATACAGTGTCAAACCCTGGTAAATCTCAAACTTGATGGACCCAAGAATAAAAAAAACCTTCAGATATCCAAGGATTCATGATAGTTACCAAGAACAAAATACATAAAGAATAAAATGTTTGGACTTCCAATCCATATTATTTGAGAAATCAGTGTTTGAGACACCAAGGTCAAATGTAAATTTATCCACTAATTTTCTTGTGCTTTCGGGCAGCTTTACAATGAAAGAATGAAATTGCATGGCAGAAATTAATCTTAACAGTCAAACCTCATTATCTCAAAGTTCACTGGACCAAGAAAAAAATGTTGAGATATCAAAAGACTTGAAATATTGATCTTAAATTGCAATAAGAAAATAATAGTGTGGTCTTTCAAATCACTTAAACATATATCCATGGCCTTCGAGATTACAGAGTTGGAGATACATGTACCAATGTTCAACTGTAACTTAAGCATTTATTTAGCTGTCTTGTGTTTTGGATGCCACCACCATTTCATAGATTAGAATACCAAAGAAGAACCAATGCACTTACCCCACCAACATTTCATAGGGACCACCAAATTTTAATCCACTTACCCCACAACATTTCATTGATGAGGATACCTAGGGACCACCAATCTACTAATATTTTCCTAACCAATATTTTATTGATGGGGAAACCCAAGGACTACCAGTCTATTTATGCTACCAACAATTCATAGATAAAAATACCTTAGAACCATCAATCCACTTACCCCACCAACATTTCAAAGGAAGAACCAATCCACCTACCCCACCAACATTTAATAGGAACCATCAATCCACCTACCCCACCAACATTTCATAGGAACCATCAATCCACCTACCCCACCAACATTTCATAGGAACCATCAATCCCCCTACCCCACAAATATTTCATAGGAACCATCAATCCACCTACCCCATAAATATTTCATAGGAACCATCAATCCACCTACCCCACCAACATTTCATAGGAACCATCAATCCACCTACCCCACCAACATTTCATAGGGACCACAAATCCACTTACCCCACCAACATTTCATAGATGAGGATACCCAGGGACCACCAGTCCACTGCCTTGTTGTGTCCTTTACTCTGGATAATTTCTGGAGCCAGATACTCAGGGGTACCACACAAGGTCCAAGTCCTGAAAGATATTCAGACATTTTTAAATATTGTCATGATATCAGAGAAAAATGTACCCAAAACTGACAAATGAAAAAATTAAATCAATGTAAGTAACACACATCGGGCTTAGAAGAGGCCCCACATCGCAAGCAATTGGCTAGGAAAAAACACAGATCAGATCAGAACTGAAAGTAAACTGGGGGGGGGGGGGGGGGTTCATCAACAAACTTGAATCTACACTACCTGAGGATGATTCCCTATAAATTTAACAAAGCCTGGCTTTGAAGTACTTTAAAAGAAGATTTTAAAAGTTTTCCCTATATGTTCCTATGTAAAACTTTGAATTTTGGCCCCACCCTACCCCAGGGTCATGATTTGAACAAACTTGCATCTACACTACCTAAGGATGATTCCACATGAGTTTAATCTTTCCTGGCCCAGTGGTACTTGAGAAGAGGATTTTTAAAGATTTTTTTCTATATATTATGTAAAACTTTGACCCATTTTGGCCCCACCACCCCCAGGGGTCATGATTTGAACAAACTTCTACACTACCTGAGGATGATCCTACATGAGTTTCATCTTTCCTGGCCCAATGGTTCTTGAGAAGAAGATTTTTAAAGATTTTTCCTATATATTCCTATGTAAAACTTTGATCCCATTTTGGACCACCCTACCCCCGGGGGTCATGATTTGAACAAACTTGCATCTACACTACCTAAGGATGATTCCAAATGAATTTCATCTTTCCTGGCCCAGTGGTTCTTGAGAAGAAGATTTTTAAAGATTTTTCCTATATTCCTATGTAAAACTTTGATCGGTCATTTTGGCCCCACCCTACCCCCAGGGTCATGATTTGAACAAACTTGAATCTACACCATCTAAGGCTGATTCCACATGAGTTTCATTTCCTGGCCCAGTGGTTCTTGAGAAGACGATTTTTAAAGATTTTTTCCTATATATTCCTATGTTAAACTTTGATCGACCATTTTGGCCCCGACCTACCAGCAGGGGTCATGACTTGAACAAACTTGAATCTACACTACCTGATGATGATTCCACATGAGTTTCATCTTTCCTGGCCCAGTGGTTCTTGAGAAGAAGATTTTTAAAGATTTTTCCTATATATTCCTATGTAAAACTTTGATCGGCCATTTTGGCCCCACCCTACCCCCAGGGGTCATGATTTGACAAACAAATCTACACTACCTAAGGATGATCCCACATGAGTTTCCCTGGCCCAGAGGTTCTTGAGAAGAAGATTTTAAATATTTTTCCTATATATTACTATGTAAAACTTTGATCGGCCATTTTTGCCCCAACCTACCCCCGGGGGTCATGATTTGAAAAGACTTGAATCTACACTACCTGAGGATGATTCCACATGACATCTATCCTGGCCCAAAAAATTTTTCAAAACTTTTTCCTATATATTCCTATGTAAAACCTTGATCGGCCATTTTGACACACATCCTACCCCCCCCCCCCCCCCCCGGGGTCTTAACAAACTTGAAAAAATATCCCATGAATTTCATCTTTCCTGGCCCAGTGGTTCTTGAGAAGAAGATTTTTAAAGATTTTTTTCTATATATTCCTATGTAAAACTTTGAAATTTTAAATTAATAATCTACACTACCTGAGGATGATTCCACATGAGTTTCATCTTTCCTGGCCCAGTGGTTCTTGAGAAGAAGATTTTTTAAAAATGCCATTAATTTTTCTCTAATTCATAATTATCTCCCCTTGGAAAAGGGCCTTTCATTTGAACAAACTTGAATCTCCTTTACCCAAGGCTATTTGTGCCAAGTTTGGTTGAAATTGGCCCAGTGGTTCTTGAGAAGAAGATGAAAATGTGAAAAGTTTACGACGACAACAACGACAACAACGCCAACAACGACAACGACAACGACAGACAACGGACAAATTTTGATCAGAAAAGCTCACTTGAGCCTTCGGCTCAGGTGAGCTAATAATAATTATACAAAGTAATTTATTGTACAAAATAAATTAATATTAATTCCTATTTTTAGCAATTCATTCACACTTTAATTTAGAACAATCTAAAAAAAAAACATATTTGATATGAATTGTATAGACTATAATTGATGCAAGATGGCTTCATTTTCTGTTAACAAGTTGCACTTCTACAAAAAATGCAGTTGAACAGCTCGTGGAGCCAACAATTGGATTGGACAGAACACATAATTGGTACCCTCTTTGATTAAGAAGGCACTGAACTACTTTTCGAGATACCGGGTCATTGTAACTATTAAAACTGATAATAACCAGGTCAATGAACCGCTTTCTGGTGTACTATACCATTTGTTAAGTCATTTATCAATCAGTCTAAGGGCTTTAAAGGAGTGAGACAATGGATATAGGAGAAGAGATTGTTTAATAATCATTTTTAACATTCAGCCACCCCCTCCAAGTTTTTTATTTTTCATGTGAAGATTAAAAAGAGATGTGTCCTTACGGACATTATGCCCTCTCTAAGACTCATTAGTAATACCAATATGAAAATGCATAAGTGCATTAAGTTTAGAGAAAATATCTCAATTACTTTCTCTAAAGCTGGGTTTCCCACATAGAATAAATAGTAATGTCATGATGCATGCACAGTTCAAAGGCACTCATCAAAATGTATCAGAATATGACATTTGATGAAAAATATCTGGATTTGTCTCTTTAAAACTGGGCAAGACAGAAATAGAAAAAAGTGAAGTCAAGATCAAAGGGAAGGCCAAGGTAAAAATGCTGAAGTTTGACTTTGAATAACCCTCATCAATATGATTAGCATAATATAAAGTTTGATTTAAAAAAAATATCTTGAATACATAGTTTCTTTGAAACTGAACTAAATAAATTGAAGAAAATTTAGGTCAAGGTCAACAATGGTCAGGATAAAAAATCTGATGCAGTTCAAAAGCTTTTTTTTCAAAATGTACGTATCAGCTTATGCGGTATGATAAAAATATCTGGTTTTGCCATTTAAAACTGAGCTAATTTAAAACATAAATAGAAGAGTGAAGTCAAGGTCAAAGAAAAGGTCAAGGACAAAAATGCTATGGTAGTTGTATAGCTCTCATCAATATGCATCAGCATATGACATTTGATAAAAATATATTGAATACTAATTTCTTTGAAACTAAGCTTAACACAGAGAATGACAGAAGGACAATTAAGACAAAAGGATGGAAAGAAGACAGTACATGTATTATCAGTATGCCCTTGCCATTATACATGTATTATGGCAGGGCGTAAATCTTTATAATTTGTTGGTGATGTGAGATTCAGGAGGGGAAAACATTAAAATGATCATTATAAGAAAACTTGAACAATTTTGTCTATAAATAAATAAGAAGAGCATAATCTTGCTTTATAACTCATTTTCTATATTTCAAAAATCTTAAGCTGATTTTGAATGTCTATCTGAAGAATCTTGGTTTTTGTGTGGTGGAATTTTAATTAGCAATTTGTCTGCATGTGTCAACAGGGGGATATATGATGAAGCATTAAGTGAAGCAGTGTTAGCAGAGCAGAGAGAGGGATTAGGAGAGATAACTAGATCAAAGCCAACTGACTCAGGGCTCTCCTCCTGTGTGTGTGGTATTCATACAATGTTACCCATGGTGTACATCTAAGGTATTAGCTGTATGCTATGTACTTTCCCATAGCATAAATCAAAGTTAGGTTGAAACTCTTCCCTGTTGTTTTGCAATTTTTTTTGCACAAGCTAGGCCAAAAATGAAAATTTATGACAAAAAAATTCTTACACAACGTACATGCATACGTGTACATCTTTCCATGGACAATGCATAATATTTATCAACAAAAATCTTAAAAGTTTGTGTCCGCATCAAAACATTGATACCCTTTGTTTACTTCCCTCGATCTTGTTTGTTCTAGATGACAAGCAATGTGTACATAGCATGACAGAACCTCAAACTACTGGAGGAGCTCTTCAATTTCCCCATGGATCTTCAGTATGCAAGAAATTCAATACCCCCATGCACCCACATTTTGCACATCAACTTTTGAGTCCTCTTTGTGATGATATCATTGCACTGATGAAATGTTTTGTGTCTAGTCCCACTTGTATGATAGTAACCCGCACGAGTGGCAAAAATTGTGACATTGTGCATTCAAGGCAGATACCGTCTCGGCTTTCAGTAAATAGGGTGCACATACTCAGAATAGATCATTGTGTTTTGTAAGGTATTGGACAATTTTCATTATTTATGAACCATTCACCAAAAAAACTTGAAACATATAAAACTCAATGACATTTATCAACAATTAATTTACAAACAAGAGAAAAAAAAACAGAATGCAACAAACGAAAAAGCCCTGAATTTCACACTGAGGCCTAGAAAAAAAATATGTTTGTTTCCGCTTTCCCGACCGACCCTAATTTATAGCTGACCCTAAAATTTTTTTTAATGCTTTTGTCCCATGAAGTGCAAGATTTCACCCAGGGAATTATAGTCTCATACTTTGCAAGCTTTTCATGACAGAAAGAAGTTTGAGTCACCTTTCTATTATAAGTTTGTCACAGAAATGCTTGAAAACACCATTTCTTTTGTCATTAATGTTACTTCTATACACGTTTTGATTAAAGAAGTAAAAAAAAAATTCAAAAAAAAAAAAATTTGCCTACCTACCTACCCTATATTTTATCAGCCTGAAAGCGGAAACAAACATATTTTTTTTCTAGGCCTGAACCTATAATTGTATTGCCAGTATTTTCAGTCCTGTACAATAATGAATTGCAATTTTTTTGGCTCATTGTGGTACATATGTACTGGTATTCATAATTCATAAACTATTATTACCTTGTGGCAAATGACCCTAATCTTAGACAAATTTTCGGCTATAATTATATCAATCTTTCCAAAAAGAAGTAAATTTTGCGTGGTCCAAGCATGTGTCAAAAACTTCACATTTGTCAGCAATCTAATTGTAGCTAAATTTAAACATATCAAATTAATCATGACCCTAAAGAAGCACAGGAATTATAGAACGATGACAATAGCTTTAAAGACATTCAATATGACAGACCCTTAAACAAAAGCATAAGAACATAGTTTAAATCTTTATCATGCCAAAAATCTCTCTTTAGACCCTGGAGTCTTCCAAGGGTGTATTTATCTCGGGGACCTGGGTTTTTGTGTTGGAGGTCAAACCAAACTTATTGGAACCAAAGAACTACTGAATATCTATAGAATATGTCAGTTCAGATTGATCTCAATAACTATTGACTCAGAACTCTGCCGTGAATGTCGTATGTATTTACAAGTTCTTGGGTTTACATTGCATTACAGTCTAGAATGAGTCTTCATTCAAGGTTATTCAATCATTGTTTGAATACGTGTTTAGGAAGATGTCATATTTATTTCCCAATGCTGATGTGTTATGTCTGTAAAGAAATGAAACTAGTACAGAGTACTAGCTTGATTTCTTATTTAAAATTTGCTCTGCTAGGATTTTTTATTTGAACAATACAACATAAATTCAACTATATATTTATAAGGTGTCAGAAATGAGTTGATATGGTTGAAATGCAATAAGACACAGCAACACTGCCTGCTCTTACTTGGTAACTTAATTACAAAACCTTTAAATATTTCATATTTTATCTAACAAAATCTGAGAGAATTTTCCTGTTCTTAAATAAGGATCTTTATTTTTCTGTTTCCACCCATGTTTGATAACCTGACATGATCTAAACAGGAAATTTTCCATATTCTGAGGATATAATAAACCAAAATACAAGGAAGCTAGACATTTTTTCTATCTTTATTTAGGAAAGAAAAAAACCTTCATGTTCTGAATACTACATATAATAAATTTAAAAAATGCATTTTCTGCATAATTCAATGTCCTGGTGAAAGTCTCATATGGCTTTTAAAAAATATTTTTTTATGCTACATTATTCTTCATTGGATACCAACATTCTTTAAAGACAGTCAAGCTCACAAGTCCACTGAAAGACTTGAAACAATACAAATTGGGAACAGTGCAAACACATCTACCTCTAAAACAATCAGATGTGGGATCGGGTGCCATCAAGGATTAAGTATCCCTTTTGCACAATACAATTTATGCTCCTGTCTTTATTATTTTCTCTTGTACATATTAAATATAATAATAAAATCTTCTCCAAACCAAAACGCCCATAGAACATGTAGAAGCTCCTGACAGGTTCTTCCTGATAAAAGTGGTTTCTGCAGTGCTTAGCCAATGAAATTGACTACCCCTATAAATCCCTGAGGTCTATGGACAAAATATATAGACAAAACCCACATCCTTTTAAAAAGAACAGGAAACAAAAGACATAAAATTATACAAAGACAGCCTCTAGTGAATATTGGTAGGTCCAAACCTCAGAAAATTAGTAAACTAGGCACTAAACAACTATCAACCATATCTGCTGCTAAATGTGCCACAAAAGTCATTGATATGGGATGATTTTAAGACTAACAACTAGCATCAAAAATCTGAAGTTCCATTAACTTACCTGTCTTCCAGTTTCTTGGCGAATCCAAAGTCAGTAATTTTGATATGTCCACTGCGGTCTAGAAGCAGATTTTCTGGCTTTAAGTCCCTATACACTATATGTTTGCTATGTAGATAGTCTAAGGCTGACACAATTTCACATGAATAAAAGTTTGCCATACTGTTTGTAAACCTGCCATGGTTTCTTAGATATGAAAAAAGTTCTCCTCCTGGTACATATTCCAGTAACATGTATAGAAATCTGTCATCATGATACGCCCATTGCCTGTAAAAAATGAAACACAGAGATTAAAGAGGTTCCATTGCATCAGTCTTATGTACAACTGTAAAGGCACTTTTTCACTGAAACACAGTTGAACATGATATTTTTTTTTTAATTATAAGATCATTTGTAAAGTTTGCTCTGTGTGTGTTTGAGGGGGGGGGGGGGTATACAGGATAAAATTTGATGCTTTGACATGATTGATGCAAAAAAGATCCTAAGATATGTACAGCATTACTTTATAGTGATACATCTTGTATTTGTTAAGTACACAGTACAGTGTATCTCTAATGATTTATGCCACAATCTTGACTGCAACCCTAGTGTCAACTGACATTTTTTTAATAGCCCTCCCTGAAATTTTAAAGATCCGATAGAATACTTTGTTATTATATGAATTCCCTCTAAGGGTAAACTAATCAAAATCACTTTTGACACCATAAATGGCAGAATTCAGTTTATGATCAATTAATAACTCATTACTTTGCACAATAATTTTCAATACAAAAATATGTCCTTGTTACAAGTTGGAATTTGTTATAAAAATGTCAAGCTATAAATGGTAGAAGGTAATAAATTCATAAAGAAACTTGAAATCTTCAAGAGCTAAAATAAACTTGATTTTCAAGGGCAACGTACTGCATTATACATCATAAAAATAATTTACTGCTCTATCACGAAACTGGCAGAAAACATATAAAATATATTCTCTTTATTCTTTTTATTAATTTCAAATAGCTTATAGGAAATCTACTTGATCTATCAAGAACACTTTGAAATTTGTTCCTGCAAATTTATTCCATGGACAAGAAAGTTTTTTTTACCCCAATCCCTACTGTTATTATTGCTGTAAGCAATTATGTCAAAACATGCATTGAATCAAGTTGAATGATGTAACTCTACCACCTTGCAGATTTACGAACCTGTCTGCAGTTTGACCTTTTACCATCAAAGATTACGAAGATATATTTTCTGCTCTTACATACATAAAAACAAATAATGGCATATGAAATGTTACAAATTGGGTTTTTTAGGAGTAATGTAAAAATATATAGCATTCTTAGTATGCATTTAATCATGTTATCACACATTTTGAAATAACTATTAAATAACAATATCTTTCTCTTATATCAACGACGAGCAGATGTGAGGGTCCTTGAAAACCTATATGAGATCTGATAAAAGAGGAAATATATTGAAAACTCTGAAAAAGAATCAAGACACTGAAATGTAATATACTCTACACATGCTTTTTTCCACGGGGTCATATTTCTGAGGAATCACAAATTCTGTTCAATTAATCTTATAGGTATATAAAACTACATGAAGAAAATTTTCTTGGATTATCATTTTCTGACTCCTAAATGCACATTACATATACTTAGTGACTTATTTCCAGGGAAAGATGGTGATCATTTATGTATGCATGGTGATGTACATGTACATATATGCAATGCAAGTTAATCCTATGTAGAAAACAAGAATGTCTTCAGTATAAGAACTAATATTCTAACTTTTTTGTCTGGCCTTTTCAACTCATTAAGAGTTATCTATTTTCATCCCTTTTCTTTGAAAACTTTTTTTTTATTTAAGAAGATGAAGAAATTTGTTTAAGAGAAGAAAAAAATATTTCTAAAAGTTCTTTGATGTTAGAAATCATGTTTCATAAAAAAAGAAGATTAAATACGTTTAATTAAACCATTTGATATTAACAAAAACAAAAATCACATTCAGTGAAAGCTGCTTCTGATAACTAAAGGAGTGTGTTTCAGATGTTCTAGAGAAACTTGGTTTATCTCCCTTATTCAAGGCTGCTCTTTGATTCACTGGGTCTATTAGATTAGTCATTTTCTTAAAAAGCAGCAGCTAAAACTTCAAACACCCCAAATACAGAAGAATAATCATTTTATCAAACAAAGAATAAATATTTTGACATTGCACTACACATGAAAAATATCGAAGAGCACAGAATCTATTGCCACAGTTAATACGGAACAAAATTAGAGTTACGATCTTTTCTTATCCCCTATCCGTGAAGTAATATCCCCCAATTCTGTTTATAAATAATTCACAAGAGAATGGCAAGAAGAAAAATATATATTTACACAGCAAACCTTCCACTGTATACAGTGTACTTACATATTAACAATGAAGGGACAAGACACTGCTGCCAGAATCTCTTTCTCATTCTTGACATGTTCTATCTGCTTCAGGCGAATCACCAGTGAGATCTGAAGGACTTTCAAGGCACAGTATTCTTTGGTTTCTTTATTTCGACATAGGACTACACGACCAAACGTACCGGTTCCTGAAAAAAAATATTTATATGTAAAAGTATTTCAATACCAATAAAGTATTTAATATTACCTTGATATTATTTGGAAATAATAAACATCAAAAAGTAAATACATGACATATGAATAGGTTATATTCATTAAATTAGGAATTATATATAGGTTAAACTAAATATATATCATATTGAATTTTAAAGATCTTATAGGTAATAGCTGGTGAATTTATATATACTTGACCTTGAACTATTATTAATTCAAAAACTTAATTGACCTTGAACTTTTACTGACTTAATATAAATTCAGAAACTCAATTAACCTTGAACTTTTACTTGAACAACAAGAGGCCCACGGGCCTTATAGGTCACCTGAGCATTATGCAACAACTTTCCAGTTATTGAATTTGATTCATGTTTTAAGCCAGATGCTATATGGCATTCACAATTTTGAAAGATGGCACCATTGATCATCATAACAATACACTTAGCAGTTGCTTAGCTTGGTTACTGAATATCCATACGCAGGGTAGGGAACAAAATTTCATTCCAACTAATCTGTAATATTCAGCAATAATCAGTAGTGCCCCTAACACTGTGACATAAACCCCTGACCCTAGGTCCACACATTGTACAAATTTTAAAATGGCACACTTAAAATTGCCTATCATAAAATAAATAAATGTTTTATAAATACAAAAGAGCAGATTTCAAATAATTAATTCATTTTCAGTATATAAGTAGAGCCCCCCCCCACCCCTGACCCTGGGGCCTTGAATTCACAATTCTGCAAGATTAGGGCCCTTGCTCATCATAACTATTTAGGTAGTTCATCTGCTTCATACCAAGAGAAAGAGAAGAAAATTTTCAAAGATTTAATGTATTTTCACTATATAATCAATAGAGCCCCGCCCTAACACCAGAACCCCTGACCCTGGGGCCATATAATTCATAATTTTAGAAGAGGCAGTTAGTTTATCTAATACCTAGGAGCAGAGATGAAGATTTTCAAAGAATTCATGTATTTTCACTATATAATCAATAGAGTCCCCCAACACCTGAACCCTTGACCCTAAATTATCATAAAATTCACAATTTTGGCTGAGGCACTCTTGCTCATCATAACTATGCACTGAATTAGTTTATTTAATACCTAGGAGCAGAGAAGAAGATTATCAAAGAATTCATGTATTTTCACTATATAATCAATAGAGCCCCCCTTCGTAGTCCGTTTCCGACACCAGAACCCTTGACCCAATGTTTATTACGCATATCACAAAATTCACAATTTTGGTAAAAGCACTTTGCTCATCATAACTATGCACTTAGTTAGTTTATTTAATACCAAGGGCCAGAGAAGAAGATTTTCAAAGAAATCATGTTTTTCATTATATATAATCAATAGAGCCCCATAAACCAGAATTTTGTACCCTGACCCTGGATGGCCATAAAATTCACAATTTTGATATGGCACTCTCGTGCACTCATTAACTATGCACTTAGTTGGTCTATTTAATACCCAGGAGCAGAGAAGAAGATTTTCAAAGAAATAATGCATTTTCACTATATATTTCTTATTTAGCCCCACCCTAGCACTAGAACCCCTGACCCCAGGGCCATGAATTTCACAATTGTGGTAGAGGACTCAATGCTGATTATAATCATGCAAACAGTTTGACTGCTTGATGTCTTGTTTTTGTATATATATAGAAGAAGATTTTTAAAGATTGGATTAATTTTAGTGATTTTGGCCCCACCCCTCAGGCCCCAGGGGGGCAGGGATCATGAAATTCAAAAATTTTGTTCCCCTTCACCCATAGATGCTTTGTGCCAAATTTGGTTGAAATTGGTTGAGTGGTTGCAGAGAAGAATAGCTAAAATGTTCAAATGTTAACACACGACGACGGACGAAAACAGATAGCAATAGGTCACCTGAGTTTACTCAGGTGACCTAATAAAATGCTTTCTTAATTTGGACTGGAATAAATGGTTGAAAGTATTGTGGAAAAAATACATAACCCTCAGCTAGGGCACATAAGCTAGTAATAAGAAATTTCTTTTTGTGATGGTTGCAACCATTTAATCCCATATTTCACACAGCAGGAAAAAAGAAATTTTATTGTTTAAATTTATGACTTTATGAACAGATGAAAGAGCCCACTGTTTAAGACATCTTTCATAAAAGTGGCCTTCAAAAAATGGTTCTAACTAGATTAGCATTAATGGGTTGATTAAAAGAAGTGGTTTTCCTAAGACATAAAAAAGGAAATATTCAGCAGATGAAAATATTAAACTTTTAGATCTATCTTGTTTTTCCCCCAGTTTCAAAATCATTTGCAAATTGTTAAAGCTTTCTGACAGGGAGAAAACACATATAATCCAATAAAATCACTAAGCCCCCTGCTCTCCGATAATAAATTTTATCTTTGAATCAAAATATTTTCACTAATGTTTGCAATTGCATGATCTATTGATGATAGATAAATAAACAAATTGCCACAAAAAGTAGGGTGCATAGATATTTAAAGTTACTAAGTACAAAGAAAAAGAAAACAACTTGTTTATGAGATTCGGCAAAGAGCAACATCTAATATAATCCAATTACTGCATTATCTCCAAATTGTATTATAGTACATAAATTCACAATAACAACATTGATGTACAAAGATGCATACCCCAAAACATTTTGACAGTAGCGCACATAGAATACTGTTGACTCAGAGAGGACTCATCACATTAATCTACTCATCCTATAGCAGGAAGAGGCAACACGCTTCAACAAAAATACACTGTAACAAATTAACAATTGAACTTTTAATATCTCAAACACTGATGTCTTGAAAACCAATGGATATGTCAAAATAATTTTTTAAGTCCTCACTCCTAACCCACGAATTCTTTTTAAAAGTATTTTACCCTGGATATTTTGAATCCTTGGATATCTTGAAGCTTTTCCTTGGTTCTATTGAGTTCAAGAGAATGAGGTTTGACTGTATTTTATTGATATTTAATCCTGTGTCTATATTAATTCACATACTAGCAAAAAATGCATTGACAGAATTTAGATAAAGAATACAAATGAAATAATTCATTTTCAACAAACTGCTAGATAAAAGATCATGCTCTGCAAGAGTTTGGACAAAAAGTATTTTGCCCTTGTATAAACTATAATTGAAGTCAACGTCATAATTATCATTTATGGTTGATTTGAAGTCCTGTTAATAGGTTAAGGAAAAACAAACACCTGATTTCAATACGACACCTACCCACTTAAGCGATATAGAGGGGAAAAAAATGTACCTCAAGATATATATATCAGTTAGCACCATCAGCAATATGACCAAAATTCACGTTATAATGGCATTATACTCTAACATGATGTACGAGGCCAAAGTCGTTACGAGATGAACGATATTTATAATGTCAAGTCGCAGAAACTAATGTCCTCCCTCCGCGAATCATGATGATGCCAATGATTCTTGTGCTTTGTCTCGAGATTTGCGTACTTATCTTAAAATAATTACATGTCTTAATGATTTATTACTTCTTCACCAATGCTGGTGTTACGGATGACAAAATGGGGAAATAAAAAAATTTTTAAAGGGGGAACTAATAAAGGTTTTATATACCCTAAGGCATTTTTTTTCTAACTAATATTAATATGTATAAGGAGTTTAACAAATATTTGAAACTGTTAATTTAAAGACCTTTTCAGGTTTAGATTTACAATTTTCAGGCTTAAATTTCATAAGGAGGTTTTTTTAAGCCTTTTAAATCATTTTTTGCTCTATTCATTTGGGCAATAAATTTTTTTTTACTTTTATATCTATACTGTACAAGAATATTTTTGATTTTCATGGGGCCAATTTCAAAGTACATGTATAACTTCCAAGTCTTAATTGTGGATAAAAGCAAAGTTAATTGTTATTGTGCACCAAAAAAGAAGGAAAAAATGGACCTTTGAGGTTGAAAAAGTGAAAAGGAAGAAAAAAAAAATGTACCAAGTACGGAAATTATTTTTTGGTCCATTTTTTTCCCTTGAGATTTAAAGAATTTCGCTCAATCCTTTCGAATGACAAGCAATCATTATACATCAATACGACAGACCCAAAACTACCCCTGGCCCATAGACAATCCGATATCTCCATATCCTTGAAACTTAAGGTGAACAACCTTCAATTAAATAGGGATTAAAATCCACCATTTGCTATCATTGGATCAAGAAGCGCAGGGTTAGCAAAACAGTTATACCTACTGATAATTTAATGTTCGAAAAACAGAAATCTATAATTATTCCGAAAAGGTCTGAAAGAGGCTTACATTAGCTTCCAGTCATATATCTCCCCCATGGAAAGATTTCGCAGATATTGATTGAGTATTCATTCAATTTTTTTTTAACAAATCGAGCTTTGTGAGTTTATGTCTGTTTGGAATCAATTAAGAATAAAAGAATCTTGTGATTCTGTATCGGTGTCATAAACAGAAAAATGAAATGATAGTGGTCGAGTTTAAAAGCGAGACTGTCTATGACGTCAAACCCCAGGGTACAGAGCTCCTGATATGCAGTGACAAAGCAATTTATTATTATAGATCATCTGAATGCTTCTCAAATTACTTAGATTAGCATTTAAATGGTATGGGGGAGTATAAAATGGTCATCTAAGCTACTCTACATTGAAGTAAATTGAACTTTAATATTAATAAATAATGTTTCATTATCAAGATGGGCTATTTAATTAATACACCCAGAGACTCAAATACCCATCCATTGGCAAAATATTTCTTAAATTAAAATTATTTTTAATTATCAATTTGTATTTTTATTGAACTTTAACATAATTAATTGCTTCTATGGCTTTATTGTGTTACCATGGAATTTTAAGAATTTTGTTTGTTGCTTAAGGTAGTCCGATCCTCAGGTTTATAAAATTAGCAGTTAAGTAATCAAAAATACTCATAAAACTATCTCTGTATTCACAAAGTTATGTAATTTTATCCACAGTATTTCTTTAAAGTTAAAC